TAGATTCCTTTAATTTAGGCTGAAATGATCCCCACGGATGCCCATTTCTTTTCGATTAAAGATCATTTCTATTAAAGAAGTCAGGGGACTAATTTTGCACTTCTATAGACTTTGGGGCTAAAATGACTATGCAAAAGTCAGGGCAGCTATTTTCACACTTTTCTCATATTTTTCTTAATTCAAAGAGAATTACTTTTTTATTTTTAGCTTGCTTTCCAGTTTCTCTATGTATGTTTTTGACTGCATTCTTATGTCTTTTTTCTTTTTAATTTTTTTTGTCTGATTTAAGGTTCGAACCGGTTTTTTTGAAGGAAGAAATCGAATTGATTCCCTTATTTCAGATATTTATGATTGGGGAACGACCGCAATAACTGTACATGGTCGATCCAGACAACAACGGTATAGCAAGCTTGCTGACTGGAATTATATATATCAGTGCACAAATAATGCTCCAACCGGTCTCCAAGTGCTTGGAAATGGTGATATTTTTTCATATTGTGACTACAATAAGCATATGGCTGATTGTCCTGAACTTTCTACTTGCATGATTGCTCGTGGTGCTTTAATTAAGGTTGGTAAACTCTACCTTCGTTTGTTCTGTGTTTAGTTTCTTTTGTCAGGTTTCTAGAGCTTTATGGTTATTTTAATTGCATTTTTTTTCAGCCTTGGATATTTACTGAAATTAAGGAACAAAGGCACTGGGATATCAGTTCAGGAGAGCGGTTAAATATTTTTAGGGACTTCGTGAATTTTGGTCTTGAACATTGGGGCTCTGATACGAAAGGTATGATGACATGGTGCGTGCTTAGTAAATTTTATCAGTGTGCAATGAAATTTGCAGTCTCAAAGCCCAAAATTAATTACATATTCAGAATCAACAAAATGTGTAAAATTTGTGCAAAATGATAATCTAATAAATTTGGCGAGAAATTGAAACCGCAAGGCCATAAGTTGATTGAGATTGATATCTTAAGAAATCAAGTTACCATAAATTTTGCTAAAATCATGCTCATTTGCATTGATCATCAACAAAATATTTAGCAGAAAAAGGAATAGTATAAGAATTTACCGCTGCAAAGAAAATTCAAGTTGACTTCTTCCAGAATTTGGCAGCTACACTTACATCACATTTGAAGGAACGAACGAGCAGTGATCTTAGATTGATAGAATACCAAA